GATATAAGCAATAATTGTCATCTGCTTTCTCTAGTGTAAAATTTAACACCCCCTTAAATTATCTGCTTTCGAGAGCTGATACGCCAAAAACTGAATTTTTTTCCCCTCTATGTTATTGCGTTAGATTTTTTTTGTTTTATACTCGCATATTAGAAATGGTTACACCATTTTATCAAAAGATTTCTTAATTTATCACTCAACTACTTCATTTTGTTTCGGTCTTTTCTTAGAACGAGTATTATCTATGAGATCTGCAGACACTTGAGCATAATTTGTTTCACTCTTCTTGAGTTCATAAAAAAACTGTTGCTGTTACTGAAAAGCAATTATCATTAGCAATGCGTCGTTGCTAACTAAAGTCGTTGTAAAGTCTAACTTTGCAGTAGTCGTTGTAATGGAATACGGTAATATCATAAATTATCGTACACTTTAATCATTTTTGTTTTATAGCTCTTTACTACTCTTTCTGCTATTCAAGTAATCACAAGCTGGATAACCGTTATAAAATAAAGCAAATGAATGGCACCAAAAACATTTTTCAGTTTAATACATTGACTAATTTCAAAACCAAAAAAATACGTAAGGTAATACGGAAAACTGAAAAATATTTATGAAATTTATCTGATAAAAAATAATTCAGAAAGATTTTGTTTCATAACTGTTCCAGAACTTCCCATTGGACAACTACGATGCTAAAACAATGGGTTGTAAATTACTCAAATGTTGTACAGTATTAGAAGGATCTTTCTCTGAAACAACGTGATTGATCTCTGGAATCGACTGCGTAGAAAATACTAAAAAATATTGCTGGTGGGGGTAATTTGGAGGAAGAAAGGGAATTAAGACGTTGTTTTGCTAAAAGGTAATTAATTACGAATATCATGGGGGGTAGGTTTAAGGGCTTTGCAGAGAAATGTGTTCAACAAGAACTTGAGTAATAGTACCATCTCTATATTACCATCTTTCTTACCATCTCTTTCGTACACAAAATTTTCGGTAACGGTTTTCAAGTACGATGGCCTAAGAACACCAAGCATTTTCTTATCAGATAACCTTAAAAAATACAATAATTAATCCAAAACCTTGACGCAATTGAAAGTAAGCCTGGATGGGGCTGTGAACAAAACATTGTGCACAAAATTAGAAATTTAAGAAGATGGAATGATAAAGACAAGATACCATGTATTTAACTACATTCTTCAGTTCACGTTTATTAGTTCACATTTATTATTTAAGTATATTTTAATGTTAAATATATATAACTGCAAAACATGGCTTGTATTTTTTATAGAATATCCTTTATATTAGAATTTGATGTAAAAAGTACTGCTTCATAATTCAACTCTCCTTGCTTTAGATTACGGCATAAATTATGCTATAAAGAAGTATTTAAATTACATGCTTTTTTAAGATTATTCCATAAAAGCATTCTGGAACGATAAGCTTGTAAATCAGGCAGGTTCTAATTTTGCCATATTGAGTTTTATACACTATATCCTGGTACTACATAGCATTTTATTTTTTATTTATGAAAGACATTTTAAGTAGTTAAAAAGAAAAAGAGGCTAAAATGCTTTACAGATTTTTCTAGGTTATTAAATTAATGCAAGAAACAAGTTTATAAATCCTAGTGCATCAATTCCTATTAAATTAATGTTAAAGATTTATTTTTATTGCAGTTAAGAACGCTTTTATGCTTCAGACATATTGCGCAATAAGGCTTGTTTTGAGCTTTATTGCGCAATATAACTATTACTCATTTGTTATTTTTTTACTAGGCTTTAAGACACCAGTTTTATTGTTAGCACTATATTAATTCGAGAAAACAGCGATTTTTTCAGACTTTTACAATCATAACATTCAATTTATATTTAAAAATTGATACATAATGGCATTATTTATGCCAATCAGTGGCAATCGGATGAGTAAGGCATATTACGTTAAGGATTACAGGTTTAAATTCTTTTCCAAACGAAAATTCTCAAAAACCGTTGTCAATAGATATATATATCAAAATACATTAAAACGAATGATTAAAAAGCCTCTTCAAAATTGTGGAGATTCTATAATGGCAATATATTTCAATTAATGACAGTCCCATACTTTTAAAAGTAATATACCACTTCATTTTAGTTTATGCTGGCAGCTTTAAAAACTGTCGTTTGGTGCAAGAGGGAGATGAGTTTATCCTAAGTAGAAGGAATTTTTATGATTGAGCATTAACTGCTTCGTAACATATTCTTGCGAAATATGTTTAAGTTCTTAAAGAGACATTTCTAAAATGTTCGTGAATCTAACAAGAAAATGATTTTTAGCTTGGCAACCTGATTTTGGGAAGTTGGAGGCATTCGTCATGGAAGCAAGCTCTCTGTCTCGGTTGTTATGCTTCAAAGGGAGCGTTGGGAGGTCAATATTCTTCTGCTTTGGCGCCAAACATTTGCCAGCTCATGGCCTTGACGACCTGTGGGCGATCTTCGTCTTTCTTGGAATTATTCCCATAACATGCATACTATTTTTCAGAAATCTGAAGCCAACCATAAAGTTTCCAGTAATATCCATCTCAGTTCATCTGTTCATCTTTTAAATGATAGAGAGAACTTATTTTGTTGAAAGGTGAGTTTATTTGATCACAATCATTATTCTACACTCTTAAACCACTGGTTCGTACAAACATAGTAACTTGTAGATCTTCACTACAAGTTCGCCGTCCACAAAAATGAACTCGGTATCAATAAGCACCCAGAGAACACCTCAATTTTCTTTTGAAGACTGCAAATTTCAAACATTTTCATATCAAATGCGTATGGGAATCATATTCATTTTTCCAAATTATATATATGTAATGATTTTAAAAATGCGTAGATGAAGGCACTGGAACTTAAACAGCTTACGATACTGCGTAGATGACCGAGAAGACCGTAGAGTGGCAGAGTGGTAAGCATGATGACGCGATTTAGCACAACGTATCTTGAAAAATCATAATCTTTATTTTTTTTAAGCATATCAAATCATCCTTTTTCAGACAAGATGTTTCCTAATTATATTTGAATACAGTAAGTTGCATTTTGAAGTACGACGTCGTTTTAAGCAAGTAAGCGGCAGCAGCATACATAAAAAGCATCTTGCCGGCAGGAGAGCTTATGCGGAAAAGGGGAAAAGTTATAGTACTTTCAGAGGAAGAAGGTTGGGAGGGGGAAAGTTTCAGTTCAGAGTTTTGGTTTACAATTAATTTGATTGGACAAGAAGTATCTGAATTAAAACGTTACGTAAGATAGAAAAATCTGGAACCTGTGAAAAGAGATGAATTTAGGGGCAGATCACCAAATTTAGAATGTTAATTTTGAGGTCGCCAATTATAGCTATCATATTTTGTTATATCTTACATATATATATATCAATTTTAAGATTTATTAGTGGGGAAAATTTTGTATTTTGAGCTACAATGTATTTGTTATCTTTATTTTGGGCCCAATTATGTAACAGTGTCAAGATCACTTATAATAACAGTTTGGAAGGTTGATAGATTGCCGTAGTCCATTACTTCTGAATTAGATCCACCCTTTTAACTCCTATAAAGATATCCTGTTTTATTTTATCAGAATTTTTTAGTTTCTCATACCTTGACAATGAGCCTTGTTCAACTGTGGTATGGTATTTTTACAAATTCGATGGATTTTTAATGAAAAATAAAATTTTTGAAAAGTATTGTATTGTAAAGGGAATATTGGTGTTTGTTTTTTTAGAAATAACATTATTTCATTGATACTACAGCAAGAATGCTGCCTTAAATTTAATATTAAACGAAACAATTCTTAAATAGTAATCTGTAATTTACAAGGATGTAAAACATTTTTTATAACTCTACTTTCTTTAACTCCAGAAAACGCTGTATATCATGAAGAAAGCGAAAACTAGTACTACTTGATATTATTCCTTTAATTACGTGTTATCACTAACCAATATTTAGTTTATCTCTATAAATCCAGGCGACAGTTTTAGGTATCCAGGTTTAGATTTATGGAGATTTATCTGGTGTAAGTTAAATAACAACATTTCTGTTACAAAATCATATAAGAATGATGATTTGGTACTTTTCTGTTAAAGAGGGACCAACTGCCAAATGTGCTTCAGAGCACCAAATGTTGTAGCTTGTTTCATGAGTAGTTATGCAATGACTTCCTTGTGAATAAATGGGAAGAATGGATGTTAACCTAAGACTTTTCTATCTGACATCTTTAGTTTCTTAAGCGGAGGAATTGGCATCTGCAAGTTAACTACAAGTACTACATCGTTATTGATCCTCATACGCAATGCCATGTGCATTGGCCGCAACCATCTCCTTATCCAATTCTTTTTGCCCCACCAGTGACCGAACGGTTAAAGACGACTGAATATTTGTAATTCGTTTCGGGTTCGAATCCAGGTGAAAGGACGGGCTGCTTGGTTGGTTTTCATGGCTTTTCCATGTGTAACGTGAATACGAGATAATTTTCTTTAAAAAGTCCTTAACGAAGTCATCCTTTCGCTTAGGCAAATAGTCCTTGTATGCTTTGCCATATTCAAATAACCAACCAAACAATTCGTATGGTAGTGACTGCATAAAAATTAAATTGGCATTTTTATACCTCCTGCGTAATATAAAATTTATCTGGTAAAATCTGTTTTGCATTTTTGTATTTGTATATTTTTTGTAATGCTTCTGTATTTAATAAAGTAGTCATTCCATTCATGAATCTTTACGTTTGCCGCCATCTAATTAGATTTCGTGTCAACGTTTATGTTTAGCGCTAAGTGGCGCTTCATTATCGGAAAGTACTGATCACTTTTTGCAGTATAATTATCAGGAAAATAAATTAACATAAAAAAGTTGCACATAATATAACTTCTAAGCTAAAAGGTTACTGCTAAAAATTTCACAGTATTTTCATAATGCAACCTTTTCGTGAAATTGAAAAAGAAGACGTTTAAAACAAAAAGTATTTATTAAAATGAATACTTACTCGCTGGCAATCGAAGAATGGCGGGAAATCGGCGACAAATCAAAGTCAGTATCCGGCCGATAAAGGAAAGATTCCCTGCGCTGCGGCAAGGCCTGTAGCACCAATCCAGGACTGGAACTAGTTGATGTTTCTTTCTCGTGAGACTCATCTTGAGTATCGAAGCTGCAAAAAGCAAATGAAATTAAGTCAAATGTGTAAATCTTTGCCATCATAATGAAGATTTATTCTGAATAAAATGGGAATAAAAGATTTTAAGGCACCAAATTTACGTATCTAGTATTTTATTTTACATAGGAAAAAAGTAAAATTTCCTTTTTATTTTTGGTTTAAAATGTGAAATTTTTTAACTTTCACAATTTAAATGCATCTTTTGTTGAAAGGCAGATTAAATTAAACAGCTGAATATTATGCTCTGGGAGGGGAAAAGGAAATTTATTTTTAGAGGTAATATTTCAGGAAAACTCTCCGGTTTTTAAATTAAACTAACCAATTCTGGTGTCATTCTGCTATTCTTTGCTCCTCATTTCCATCAAAACCATTCCAGAAATGAACAAATTTAGCTAATACCAAAAAGGATATCATGAGCATCAGGATATAATAATTAGCAGTGAGGCGTACCAAGCTATGTGACTAAACTCTTGAAAATTTCATTGCCTGTCAGTTTGCTGAGAATAATGAACATGAGGTTAATGTTTATACCTAGGCTTGATCGGCGAGGTAACTTGATTCATTATCTGCAGCATAGAACTCAGCGACAGCTTTTTAAAGCAAAGATTAGTTCCCTTTGACTGAAATCTGAATGCACTAAAGTTGAGCGTCAGATCTATTATTTAAACTAGTTATTCAAAAAGTACTTTATATTCCTTGAAAGTACCAGAAGGGCTTTAAACCATTAGTTCAGCTAGGGTTTAGGAGGTAAATTTTACGATGTTTTATGGTTTATGAGGGTTTATGAGGGTTTATGACGTTTATGAGGATTTATGAGAATTTATGAGGGTTTATGACGTTTATGAGGATTTATAAGGATTTATGAGGGTTTATGACGTTTATGAGGATTTATGAGGGTTTATGACGTTTATGAGGATTTATGAGGGTTTATGAGGTTTTATGAGGTAAATTTCAATAGATAATTTTAGTTGGTTTTATTTCTATTGTGCTATTGCTAAAACTAAAGGTTAGTTACAGTTGCTCTATGATAACTAATAAACGATAGTGAAATATTACTAGCTAGTTTATTGAGCACTATATTTAAGAGTGCTGAAAACAGAGACTGTACAAACTAAAGGTAGCACTGCGACAAATGAAATGTTTAGAATCGAGATATGCCACGTATCTCTAACTTTCACCTCAAAAAGTGGAGATTTTGGAAGGCTACAACTGTTTTTATGTCTAGCGAGTCTAGATAAAATATAATTTATACATATGCTATAAGGTATTTCTCCTGCCTTCTTAGCATGACTTCGTGTTGTAGTGGTCAGCACACTCGGCGCGTATTCGAGAGGTCCGTGGTTCGAATCCCGGTGAGGGCATTGCTCATTTTTCATCTCTCCTGCTTCCAAATAACCTAATGACTCTACAATATATATATATGTTGTTTCCCAAGAATAAATAGTAAAGTTAAATTAAATTTAAATAATTCTCTTGCGCCTTTGCTGCAAGGAATGAAATTTGAATTCAACAAATATTCTCTATTCGTATAAAGCTAATTTAAAGTTAATTTAAATTTTAAACTATGGAATTGTAATTGCATACAAATAAAAGATTAATTATTGCTGCAAACTAATTTAAATGATTTTGTAAAAATTTAAATGATATTGTAAATTAGTTCGCAGCAATAATTAATCGTTTATTTGTATGGAATTAAAATTTCATAATTTTAAAATTTAAATTTAAATTAACTTTAAATTAACTTTAAATTAGCTTTACACGAGTAGAGAATATTTGTTATATATATATATATATCAGAAAGCTCTGAATTTGACAAAAGCCTGGAGTTTAAGTTCAGCAAGTGCTGTGTCTTACAGACCATTCTGAGGCTATATTTCAAAAGTGCAGCCCTATTGTCAACATGGCACGCTTTATTCAAGATTTTTTCTGTAATCACTGTCAACTCTTAACTCTTTCTTGGCTTGCAATTCTCTTTGAAAATTTCACAAAAAACAGGTGAGATGCATTTGCTAGAAAGCTGGATCCTCATACAATAATGAGGTAATACGTATACCTTTTATTGAAATCTAGCTATTTAAATGTATAGGAAACCATGCAGGCGAAAATCTACGTTTGTAGCGAATTTTATAAAACAATGAAACTGTATTACAGCCTCACAGTATAGCTTTCATTACAGTTGTGGATATTTTCCTCCTCATTATTCCAATGAATGAAAATACTTTAAATTAAAAACAAGATTCAAGTTAAAGAATAAGATTCAAATAAAAATATTGCTGTACCACAACATTTATTCTAATTTAAAAGCATTCCTAACTTAAGATAACAATTTGACTAAGCATATGTACACCAATTCTGGAAAAAGGGGATTTATTAGATTTAGTTTACAAATTTGATTTTTTTGTATTATCATTATTTTAAAACTTACAGATAGAAACTAGTTTCCAGGAACAAAAAGAGATTCTGTTTGCACAAAAGTTTAATTTTAATGAATGTGATGGCTGAGCTTGATGCAATATTTTTTAAATATTTGGAATAAAATTGCTTAATTCTTAAATCCCCGCATTCAAAAATGACCGGCCTTTTTCTTGTTTTCCGTAGTAAATTATTAACTTGATTTAAATCTACTTCCACTAATTAAGAAAAGGAAAAGTTAATAATGTTGGTTCGATAACAATTTTTGGTTTGGGATATTTCTCTTTGACGACTTTTATATTTCAAAACTTAGCTGTCGCATTATTTTGAATAAGATTTGGCTTTGTGTGATATTTCTCTATATCAATGGGTAAGTAATAATCAGTTTTATTTATATTTTTTTTAATCAATGGGAAACAATCTTTCTAAGAAGCACGTTGGCGTACAGAGATGTTACGTTGAACAGAAAGCTGCACGGCAGCGTATTGAGGGCTGACGTTGCATTCTGTTGACTGCAGGACATTTAGATACAAAACAGTCATGATGATCCAGATTATTTTGGACGACTTTGATCAGTTATTCATAACGTAAAATAAAAACTAATTTTAGCACATTTTTTTATGAATTAAAAAATACTTAGAGCAACGTAATCTTAGAAACAAGGCGCTCAACTGCACATGTATTTTTGCTGCGTATTTAAATCTTGAAGAGGTCTGCTCATACAATTTCACATTCAAAGATTCTAAGCATATATATCAGGCAGTATAATAAAAGAAACCTCTACTTGCAATAGATCAGAATCTTAAGCAATACAATGAATCAGATACTTCTTAAACGATGGCAAATGTGGTTATAGCATTCACTTCTTATTCATCTAGTTTTAATAAAACATGTGCTCAGCTATTCATGATATGCAGCATAAAGCCTACCTGAAATCAGTGAAAGGCACAAGAATCTTACATCAGGCAAGAAAGGGTATTCGCCATTTCGCTAGATATTTTTTACCAGTAAAACTTTACTTATTCGAAACTCCTTAAAAAAACTATTAAAAGAAAAAATTGATACATAAACAGATAATTTCATTTTATATTTATATTCAGGTTTATATAATTCCTTCTACTATTTGAATTTCGACGCCACGATAAATTTCTTCCAATAACTTAATATTACTTTAATTTGTTTAATTTTTTTATTTGTTTATGTTATTATTTGTTAATTTCGTGTCCTCGCAAAAGACAAATTGTTGCCACTTTATTTGTGGAAAATGTTTATCGTATACCTCGGGAACATCCAATCTAGCGACGTTTTTTTATGAAATAAGCACAAAAGTCTCCACATGGTCTTAATTAATGATGGCATTAATATCATAAATTTTTCTCTCCCTTCCATTCAACAGCGCGTTTTCCAGTTACATTGACTATTACACGAGTTTAGAATTTGTTTATGCTATTCTCTGATGTTTTCTTATATATCCCTATACCTTATATATATAATATATATATTATTTGTTAATTTTCGTGTCCTCGCAAAAGACAAATTGTTGCCACTTTATTTGTGGAAATGTTTATCGTATACCTCGGAACATCCAATCTAGCGACGTTTTTTTATGAAATAAGCACAAAAGTCTCCACATGGTCTTAATTAATGATGGCATTAATATCATAAATTTTTCTCTCCCTTCCATTCACATTAATATATATATATTATATATATATATATATATATATATATATATATATTATATATAAAAAAAATCCAGATTACAAATTTTAAAAATGTTTAGCATTTTCAATGATTTTAAAAGTTTTGCTTTTGAATTAATAAAAATTATTGGAAACCTCTTTTTTTTAAATTACACTGGAAGTAATAACTGTATTTAAGTTTATTTTTTTTTTTAATCTTCCGAATGTGAAGCAAAGCGTAAAACAGTGAGCTAGAACGGCATGTAGACTGCAAACGTTTTCCTTCCCAGTTTCACACGTTCGTGGAAAGCCTTCAGACAGTTCATCAAAGATTATTATTGCAAGTGTTTCTACAAAGCTCACGAAATAACTACATTCCAAACAGGAAAAATGGTCGGAAAGCAATGCACATAGTCTATCCATTCATATCGAATACTGTCGATGCTGTCGAGAGGAAACGTTACTTTGAAATGAATAAAAAAGTAATAAGTATTCAAATATGGTCCCTGAATTTCTAAAACAATGCTCAGTGGAACGAAGTAGACGAAAATAGCTGCAATTCGTTCACTCCAGCTCTTTTAATGTTCTCAGGTTAGCTTCGCCGCGAATATAATGGCAAAAACCGTAATATTAAAAAAAAAATCCATGAAAAAGTCCTTGTCACATACTATGAGGGGCATTTTGCAATGGGGCAGACATATCCCTTTAGTTTTTAAGTCTTTTGAAACCAAAAGATTATGTACCATACTTATATAACATAAATATTATATATGCGCTCGTATGTGTTCACCATCTTTTACCAGAGATACATTTTACATACTGATTAAATTAGACAGCCCGTCTCATTTCGCTCCAGAATACATGCGGATAGTCTGTACGGGTGTAAAAGAAGCTTTAAAT